CTCCTGGAGGGCTCTCCTCTGTGCCCCTGGGGTCCCGGAGCGCTGCACACCCCTGCTAGCGGGCCCTGGGGAGACAGCTGCTGGCCTGGGGCTGGGGTCAGGCTGGGTGGAGGGTATGCGACATGGCCCCGCGTCTGTGCACACCAGGCCCTGGCAGGCGGTCGGAGTGTCTGCCCAGGATGTGAAGTCACGCTTTCGTGGATGTGCCATGGAGGAGCCTAAACTTCTGGCTTGCTTCCTCTTTCCCTAGGACACTAGGGCTGCAGCTCTGGTCTCGGCAGAAGCAGGTGAAGGGCTGCTGCTTGTGGCCAGCCTGTGCCCATCGCTCATGTTCCTCTTGAGCGGCAGGCAGGCGTATTGCGGCGGAAATCAGGCTGAAAGGGGAAAAGACAGCCCTGCCTAGGGGCCTTGTTTGCCCTCGACACGTGGCCTGAATGAAGTAGAGAACCCTGTAGTATGGTCATGCGCCACACTGCCGTTCCAGAATGACTGCTCACCCTTTCCCGGGTGCGCTGGTGGGACTCTGGGGCTTGGCTTTTCCTTTCTCTTGGGTTGATTTATTTGAATGTTCCCTCCCACCTTCTGTTATTATTATTATTATTTGGGGGGATTTCCTCATGAACTTTGTTCTGATTTCCATTTGTTTTCCTTTGAGCTTTTTAAACTTATTCCCCTCCTGCCCCCCAGGTAAACCCCTACACTCTCAAGGCTCACTTTCTTTTCTCAGCAGCTTCCTTGCATCGCTTATATGATCTCAGCCCATGAACATTCATCAACAGAAAACCAAAGCCATCGTCGCGGACGCTGCCATCGAGATACCACTTGGGTCTTTGGCCTCCCCGTCATCTTGCTCTATAAAGTGGGACTCAATTTCCCATAAGCGGAAGCAGAATCTCTAGTTAAATGCACTTGCAAGGTCTGGGCGAGCTTCCTATTTATAGCAAAATCCTTTTTATAATGACCTCATAGACGGTGCCAGGAAATTGCTCACGGATGGGTCAGGCCAAAGGCCAATAAAGCCACGGTGTGAGCTTTACTTAAAAAAATTCCTTCATGAGCCTCTGGAATTCTTTGGAGAAGTGTTTTCACGGGTTATATGACAATAACTGGGGCCACCGGGATGGATTACAGTGGTAGAGACATTAAACTTAAGTTCAAAGGGAATTTCCGCTTCATCAGGCCAGTCTCAATACTTTTTATCACTTTGGGCTTCCCAAAGAAAGTACTGGGTGAATCACGTTTATGAAATATTATATATGCAACGTTGGCTCTGGACTTCCCAGAGGCAGAGAAGTGTGATTAGAGACAAGAGTCTCTGAGGACACAGGCAACCCGGGGGTGAATCCCGCTTCCTCCACTTCTTAACTGGGGCTTGAAGCCAGCCCCTTAATCTCTTTGGGCTTCCGTTACCTCATCTGTCAAATGCTCCCTCCTTCACAAAATGCTTGTGAGAATCAATGAAATAGTGTGTGTAAAGCATCAGCGTAAGATCTGTCACCATTCTGTAGTGTCATATGTGTCTGCTTCATCTTCTCAACAAACAGTTGAATGGGGGGCGCTGGGTGGGTAGGCACAAACTGGTGTCCCCTTCTCAAGAAACAGCGAGTCCTAGTCTTATACTTTTCCTGTATGTCTGTGTACAGGACGATGTCTCACCTACCAGAGTAGGGAATAGTGCAGTGTTATTCTTCCAGCAACCCAGGGCTCTCGGCCACCCACTCTGTGTACTCGGGGAGCTAGACATGACCCAGGCCAGATGACCGACCGTTCATTTGGACGTGAACCAGCTCTTCGTTTTGGAGACTGGGGAAATAAACCAGGCAGTGAGTGATATTCAGAGTGACAGATAACTCTGCCTCAGTCCCCCTAGGAGGAGCTCCCGAGGCATCACTGGGCTGCCTACCTACCTCTCTGCCATCGTTTTCTAAGCCATTCATCTCACACATCATTGTTAACCATTTCCTATGTGCAGGACACATAGGTTTTCCAACAATGGGTTGGATGTGGTCCCTGATCTGAAGGAGTAAACCACTGAATATGGGGTGATGAGGCAGGTGTATACATGTATAGACAAGCGAAGGGTCATAGAAGCAATGTCAACAGCGTGCTCTCCCTAAGGCCTGACTGCTCATTTCTGGCTGGGGACTTGGGAGAGCTCCATGGGAGAACCCTCACTAATCCTAAATACCCCAAAATGTACGAGAACCAGAGGTGAAAGCTATTGATTAGTCCATCCCATGCCATTTTACCAAGATGGAAGGAAGCTTGAGCTCACTGTTGTGAGGGGAGAGTAGGAACTGAAGTGGAAAGGATTTCACTGGAAAATGAAGTCTAACTGCTCACTATCACTTTCTACACTGGGCCCTCGCTGGACTAAAATGGTACCCGCTCACCTGGCATGTCACCACTGTACACACCAGGGCCTGCTGCTGGAAGTTTATCACCATTTTCATCCCTTTGGCCAGGAGCTTTGTATAACCAACACATATATGCGGGGACCCTGCTCTGCTTCAGTCTCCTCGGAAGCTTCTCTTCATCAGGTGAATTAAATCCTCTTCCATTGGTCTTTCTCCATAGGATTGATTTCTCCATCACTGTCTGCTTTGCTCTACTGGATTGTTTCTGAATTTTTTATTTCTTGCCATATTAGAGTCCCTGATTCGGTAGGGTGTTCTGCCAATGGTCTGTTGGTGGTGCAAACTGTAGAATCATCTGGGCATTCTTATACTCTATATTCTACTTCTCCATCCTCATAAATCACAAGGAATAGTGTGTTGGAGAAAAACCAGATTCTTTGTTGCTTAAAGATTTTGTGAAAGGGGAGAAAATCTGGCCTAAAAGGGGGCCCCGAAGAGAACAGGAGGCAGGTGATGAGCCTGGGCTTCCTGAGAGGTTTAGTGTGATGATATACATGGGATTCTTTGATCACTCTTCATGCAGGAAGCTACCTAAGTTGTGACTGGCATCTCCACATTTTATATCTAGTTCATAGCAATCATGAAACTTAGCTCTGTTTTACACTCAGCCCGTACATTTAATATAACCCACTTCTTCTTACTGTTCATCTTTTGATTGATTTCCATGATAGTCGCTTAATCAGGAAACCCCGAGTTTATTTGCTTCATAGACATACTTGGATTTTCTTGAGAGAGTTCTTTTTTTTTTTCTGATGCGGACCATTTAAAAAGTCTTTATTGAATTTGTTACAATATTACTTCTGTTTTATGGTTTGGTTTTTTGGCTGCGAGGCATGTGGGATCTTAGCTCCCGGACCAGGGATTGAACCTGCACTCCCTGCATTGGAAGGCAAAGTCCCAACCACTGGACCACCAGGGAAGTCCTGAGGGAGTTCTAAAAGTGGTTAAGATGGCAACTGAGAAAGAAAGAGGAAAGGGACTTCTTTCTGGATTTGGGCAATGAAAATTTTATAGGCAGAATAAAATTTTTGCGGACGTCCTGCTTTTTGGAGATTATTTGCAAAACCATTCTGTATGACACACATCTGTCTTTGAGATGCAGTGACTGATGAAGAAAAACCCACACTCCGCAGGCCACAGGGCGTGGCCCCCTCCTCTGTCTGCCACAAACAGCCCACATTTTTCTTGCAGAGAATTGTCTGCCTCCCTGAAGATGAAAATCAATGACTTAGAAACTGATTAAACAATCCAAATAGCAACTGATAAATGGATTAACCCTCTATAATGCAATTCTGTGAGCTTTTGTCTTCCGCCTTCCCCAGGTAAGTTTTTCTATTCCTAGAGGCAAAGCAGAAGCATGGAGGAAGCGGAGGCCAGGGGGAATCATATTAAAGTCGGTGAATCCGTTTATCACTTACTGTCTGGATGGTATTTCTGCTCACATATCTGCTTCCTTTTACAGATTTGTACCCTGATGAATGTTAGGCAGTGAATAATGAACGATAGGGGCAGACATTGGGGATAGGCGAGAGGAAGATACCCCGGTGGTTTAGGCTGATCCCATAAACAGAGAGACTTTTCTTCTTAGTCACAAACAGGGAGCGTTAACATGACAAAGAAATGTCCACAATAGGGATCAAAGAACAAGTAAAATGGAAGGATTTCTTCTCATGCAAAGAACCTGTCCAAGGCTTTTTAACCAGCCCCTAGACACTGAGATTTCAGTGCTTGAGGACATGTGCTGTTTTCACGAGGCTTTGTTTTTAAAATCATGTCCCAAGATATTCCTTTGTCTTTGTGTAGGGCCTTTCCGTAAGGGTGGCTTATGAAAGTCTTAAGCCTCCGATATGTTCACTAACTCACCGTTCAACCCATCTCCGGTATGAGGCTGAGCTAAGTGTTCAGTTCTGATTCTAGGCACTTGGGGTCTGCTGATTAACTAGTCCTGGGTGCTTTCCATGACCAACAAGTCTGGACTTCAGGGAGATGGGGCTGAACAAGAGTGGACACCTGTGTACCTGCCCACAGGTGCATCAGAGTCCCCCAGAGCATCTTCAGGGTCCTTCCTGCAAATGATCCCCCATCAGTGCTTCTTTGTTTTCCTTTACAGAGACAGAAGGAATATCTCCTAGAAGAGAGCATCTTTCCCAAGGGCAAGGCCTAGGTAGTGACCTTTCTCTCTTCCTCTAGTCGCACCACCGCTGATGGTTACCATCTGATGTTTGGGTCCCAAGGGCTCATTGTTCAGGGATGAGAGAAGTTCACTTGGTTGGTAAGGCCTTCTGGATGCTTCGCTGATCCAGGGATCCAATCAGAAGAGCAGAGTAGTTTCTATAAAAACACAGAGCTGACAAACATTACAATCAAACTCAGCTCTGGATGGCTTGCAAGAAATTGGTATGGTTGAACCGAGGAGAATCATAAAGAAAACTTTGCCCAAGTTAACAACTTGGTTGTAACAAAACCTCAGATTCTAAACTTCATATTCTTTCTGGAGCAGATTCTGCCATACCATGGGAGAAGAGGGGCCGGTGGAGACTCACCAGAGCCTAACATTGGATTTTTAAAAAAATGTTTCCACAGCCCAGAAAGGACCGGATGGGACAGTCATTCCCAATAACTACTGTGACTTCTGCTTGGGGGGTTCTAACATGAACAAGAAGAGTGGGAGGCCGGAAGAGCTGGTGTCCTGTGCAGACTGTGGACGCTCTGGTGAGTGTGGCCCCTTCTCGCATCATGTGCCCGTAGACCAGGAACTCTTCCACTCGCACTTCTCTGCCATCTTGTGGGGGTCAGGGGCTGAAGGGTGGGTGCAGAAGTGACGGTGATGATACTTCGAGTGGAGATGGGTTTTCAGGTTATTTTGATTTGTTCCTTCTTGAGGCTTAAGAACTAGAAGTTATGCCCTGGGATCTGGGAAAAAGGGAAAGAAGAAGGTTTGGGCTTTTGTCTGTCCGGCCTTTCTGTGAGGTGGATATTTCTTTGTGTGTGTTGTTGTGGACGACAGTGAGACAGTGTGGAAACACCCGGAGACACAGGCAACGTGCTTCCTTGTATCGGGTGACGTGCCCGTAACAAAGAGGTGTGTTGGTTCTGCAGAAGTGCCCGGGGCAAACGGGAAGAATGTGGAAACGTGAATACTGGGAGAGCAGCCACATCTGGAGCTGTGGGGGGCACAGACCCCTGCGCTCCTGGGTAGCTGCATAGATGCCACCCCATTGGCCACTTATCCCATCTTCTCATGTGGAAAGCAAAAGAGAGCCCGGTCGATCAAGGAGGCAAAGGGCAGGTGTTCTTAGGACTCCTCTGCAGTTGACTTGGCATGTTTTGAATTTTCATCTTCAGTCTATTCAGAGACTAAAATTGGTCTTGTTCTTCCATTCTTAGAATGAGCACAGGTCTTCAAGTTTTGTGCAAGCTGTTTTGCTTTCCAATTCCATTATTTTGCGCTGGATCGTGGTTGGCTTTTCATATTGTTTTATGTTATAACGAGGCCAAAGTGCAAGGCAGGGAGGAGAGAAGGTTTCAGACTCATCTTTAGTCTCATCAACTGCTGACTGGTAGGTGAAATACAGTTTGGTTGGGTGGTTCGTTCCACCAGCCAGGAGTCATGGCTCCTTCCCACCTCTCTACCCAGCATCTGTTCTACTCCTAGTCCTGAGAGAAGGCCTGAGATGACCACACCCGGCTTTACTATAGCAGCTCAGTTCTTCCCTCGCTCCGTCCGCAGACATTAGCTTTAGTCCTTTTGTATTTGGTCTTGGGTTGTTTAAGCTTTAAGACTGACTTGAACAGCAAATCAGTAATTGGAAAAGCACTGTGGTTTTTACTGCATACAACCCTCCGCATTTAACCCTTAAGGACCCTGACAGGGTGGCCCATCTGTGCAATTCTGTCAATTCCTTCACTTGCCAAACGTGATACCTAACGTTGAACTCTTTATCCTACTGGTGCCAGCTTAGAAGAGAGGGCCCATGTGATAGTGGAGGAATTTAGATACTCAAAAAGAAAATGAAACAAATGAAATTCACTTCAGCATTTTTAAAAAGCAAGCGATCAGACAAAATCTCTACCACCAGAAACCAAGTTACTTGGTGGCATGATACTCTAGGCAGAATTTTATGGACTGCTATGGGTTTGGGAGGAGTTAGAGAAGGCAGCTTCAGAATTCTCAGTGAAAACTTCTGAAATTTCTCCTCTCCCTTTCCTACAAAAGACGGGTACTTGGATCTGATCCATGGGGGACCAGAAGTGGGCAGTTGTTTTTTTCTGTACAAAGCTTCTCTCTTCACAGCCTTTACTCAGCTTCTTCTTCCAAGGATCTGTCTGCTGTGTGACTCAGGGGGCCATTTTATACCAGCCTAGGTGTTCTCATTGCATTCGCCAGGGATTAATTTTGGTGGATAATTTAGTCAAGGTCTGACTCTGATGTTCCTGAAATAGTCAACACCTTGGGAATAAGCAGGTGGCATTAGCCCATGGGATATGCTTGTTAAGGCAGGTGGGCCAATACTTCTTCTCTAGGGCCTCCCTGGAGTCCTTCCAAGGAAGAGTGTGGAGCTCGGAAGAGCTGTCTTTTCCTTCCCATCCACCCCACTACCTACTTTCCCTGGGAGAAAAAGTGAGATTCCGGAAATTGGCACCCTAAGTGGTACCTTATGACCTCATCGGGGGCAGTCCTGGGGCCCATTTGGAACGTGAAAAAGTCTCTACCGGAGTTTTATAGACTTCAGGATACAGTCTTTTATTCGGCTTTTCCACCCCTACTTCCCACTTTCTCAGTGCTCTGAGTTAGATTTGACAACCCTGGACTTTCTGGAGTAACTCAGACCTGGGTGTGTTTAGGGCCTGGCGTGTGTGCGTGCATGCCTGTGTGCACACACACATGTATGTGTATGTGCACGTGTGTGGGTGCAGATCACAGAAATGTCCTCCAGTGGTTAAAGAAAACGGGAGACTCTTTTATTACCTACCACTTATCAGACTTTCCAACTTCTTTTTGCTTTCAGTGCAAATGAACTACATGATGTAAGGGCAGAATTGAAAGGGTATGGAAAGAATGGGATTAGAAACGGGTAAAAATAAAAATAAAACGGATGGAGGCTTAACCACCTTGACTGGGTTATCTGACAGTAATACCTTTGTAAAGCTGACTGTCAAAGTGAAGGACAAACATTGTGCAAAGAAACGCCAACTGAAAACACCAAAGAAATACCAACCAGGCTTAAAAACCACCAAGGAAACGCATTGTCTGGGGTGGGTTGAGCGAGCGTGCATGCGAATGTGTGCCTTCGGAAGAGAAGAAAGAAAGATCGTGGTTGAATCTTGCGCTGTCAGAGCTGTGGACAAATATATTATGGTAGAGATGATGCCTTTTCAGGGAGGGGAGAATCCTTTTCCCTGGAAATGTTGGCTTTGTCCCGTTACCCCAAACCCCTGTCACCAGGTGACACACCCAGTTAATCCCTTTTGGTGTGAAATGGTTTATGATTTTGCTATTAAGAATAACACTGTAATAATGTAATAAGAATATTAATAATGCTGTCTGTTGCTTAACCCATGTGCTGATATATTCATCATACATGTCAGCTCATTTGGGAGGAGAAGGCAGGAAGGAGAAGGAGGCAGCGGCCGCAGCACGCACCACGGAGGACTTATTCGGTTCCACGTCAGAAAGTGACACCTCAACTTTCCACGGCTTTGATGAGGACGATTTGGAAGAGCCTCGCTCCTGCCGAGGACGCCGCAGTGGCCGGGGTTCGCCCACAGCAGATAAAAAGGGCAGTTGCTAAACGCACGGAATGGACTTTCTGGGCAATTAGCCATCACCCTGTGACTTTGGTCATTGCTCTGGTTCTGATATATATATTTTTTTAATGAAAGACAATTTAGGTTTTCCCTTCATCCTTGCTTTTTCCTCTCACTTTCCACTTGTCCCTCCCCCTTCCTTCCCTTTATTTAGGGTACATACAGCAGAAGCACAGACTACTGAAACAAAACAGAACAAAAGAAAGAATAACAGTCCTTCAGAGAGATGGCATCGTGATGTACTATTTATTTTCCATAGAAATGGGAAGTTAGGCGGATTATCTCGTTTTTTGGGGGGAGGGGATCTTTTTGACATGAGCAGAGTTGATTTCCTCAGTTTTCCTATTTATTGGCAAAACGAAGAGAGGAGGAACATTGGGTTTGGAAACAAAGAACCAATAACGTTAAAAAATGATATTTTATATCTTCTAGCTATGATTAGAAGCAGGCCTTTTTTTTTTTTTGAGACAGAGAGAGAGAGAAGGGAAATCAAAGAAACTGAAGTAATATCCTGTTTGAAGAAAGCCTGTATGGGGGAGGATTTCCTTGACGGGAGAGGATGGTACTTGGTACCCCACGGAGCTGGTGGCTCCCCACGGCAGACCCCCTCCCCATTTCTCCTCCCCCGACCTTTCCATCTTCCTCTCTGCTTGCGAGAACATGCCAGCAGTTCCTGAGAAGCCGGGCAGCCTGTGCGTGGCCCCCGTCCAGCCCCTGGGCCCTGACCTGCAGCGCCTGTGGGATCCTCCTTCTCCGTCAGCAGAGCTGCTGTTTTCTTGTTGCTGGTTTTTTCCTCACTTTCCTCCTGGTGGAGAGCAATTTCCAAACACAGGAATGGAGTATAAGCAGAAAGTCATGGACTCAACAGTGACCAAACCACCCGAGGCCGCGCTCATGGAAGAAAGGACGTTACTTCACAGTAGATTTCCCTCTCCCCTCACCCCTGTTTAAAAACGTATAAATACCCATTGGATGATCAAGTCTCCCATATTTCTTCTATTTTTTATAGTGCCCTCCAGGCACTTTGTTTTATGTTTCCAGTAGCACCTCCTGAAATAAACCAAAGCAACACTTGCTCAAGGCCCCTGGGGTGATGAAGACCATCTACCTTGCTGGCCAGCCAGTCCCAAGGATGAACAGCTGTGCGGTCCTAGTCAAAAGGTATGTCCTGGCTGACGTGTCTTACAATAAGGGAAAACCATCATAGTTGTTTTAAGTTTATTCCTTCTTTCTTTTTTTCCTTTCCCCCGCTCCTAACTTGTCTTTTGTTTTTCTGGGTTCGGACCCCCTTATTCGTGTGGGAGTGGCCACTGGAACATCTTCTATCCAGCCATCTGCTGTCTGTGTGTGCATGCATACCTATGTGGGCCCAGGCCTAGGTGTGGGATCTGAGGCTTGCTTGGGCTCTGGGAGGCTCTGTGTGGAGAATGGTGGACTTCTGGCTTCAACTGCAAGAGAAAACGGCTGGGGAGTGTTTGGCTAACTCGGCCTTCCTTGGCCATACCTGGAAGCAGAGTCCAGGGAACTGAGGTTCGAGTTGGCTGCTGTCCTTAGGTAGAAATTGAGGGGGCTGCATGTCTAGGGTGGAGTTCCTTGCTCCAGTTACCAATTCAACAGCCAGGGGGATGCATCCAAGTTAAAGAAGATCTCTGATTAGGCACAACATTCAACCTAGCTGATTTGAAGATTCTAAGCTCCCACTAAGTGTGGCCAGGGTCTCCGGCCTTCATGAGAGCGTAGGTCCAGAGATGTAGGCACTACCCTTTGGCTTGGGTTGGGAGATCCAAGATGCTGCCCAGGCAACAGGCTTAAGTGTCTGGGAAGATCTGCTTTGACAATCCAGCCTTTGCAGAACCTCACGAATTAGACCTCTCATTAAAATAACAAACCAACCCAACAGAAGAAAGGTCCAAGCAAAGAAACCAATAAAAGGACTCCTTGTGCTTCCCTGGTAGCCTGAGACAGACAGGGCTTCCACTTTCCTCCTGCTTGAAATGTGTAAGTGCTCTCCTGGGCGTTTGTGCTCAGTTGTGAGAGAATGAAAGGAACCACGTCACCCACTTTGGGGATGTTCTACCTAATCTGTATGTGGCCCTGTTCCTAGGAAATATGGCATAAACCTCCAACATTGTAATATTCCTACATGCTCACGTGTGTGAAAAAGCCAGTGTAGTTGGTTCCAGTTGGTTTCTGCTTAGGGGATACAACCTGCTCTTGCTGTCATCCTCCACCTCTTTACTTCATCTGTTCTGTTACTTCATCTGTTCTGACTCAGACATTGGATTCACAGCATTACGACTTGCTCTCACTGGTAAAATATGAGCTTCTACATTAATAAAAATATGTCCAACCAATCTATACTGTCATTTGTAATCTTGTATTGGGTTCGCCAAAAAGTTCGTTTGGGTTTTTCTGTAAGAGCGTATAGAAAAACCTGAACGAGCTTTTTGGCCAACCCAACAGTTGTTTGTAGTCCTGAAATTCTCAATGACAGCTTGACTTTGAACTTGAAATTTTTAAAAACCCACATAATCAAAACAAATTATAAAAAGTCACCTAATTTCAGAGTCTAGCTTGGGGTTCTGAGGGAGAACCAATAATGAACTGTCTAAACACACTCCCATGGAAAGGTTTATCTGAGGATGACTATTGCTTATCTATTTTAGTTTTGCTAGTATAGCTTGATCTTCAGTGTCTCTTGCTAGAGGTGGCAGATATCCTCATCTTTCTCAGTTGGTGTAGCCAAGGTGAGCATAGTCATGCATCTTAGCATTGCCTGAGTACCTTGTCTCACCTTGCGAACAGTATCTTTCAACAGACTCAAAATTTACATCCTTTAAAAAAACAGGAAAAGGACTGGAAGGGACTTTGAAGATAATCAAGGTCAAATCTTTCACTTTTCATTGAGAAAGGTCAACCCGGAGAGACTGAGTTACATTTGAGAGGGTAAAATGGACATTGCTTTGGAGGAAAATGTCTTAAGGGGAAGGAAGAAAACTCTGAAAGGAGGCATAGGAGGAGGAAGCTGGCTTTCCTGGATTTCCAAATGCCTTGATGGTCGTTGTTATATCTTTATCCTCCTTTCTTTATATAACAATGGCCAAACATTTATATGCCAGGTCTTGTTCTGTTTCCCCTGGAATAGTTCATTTGATCCTCTTGACTACCCGTGAGGTAGGTGCTTGTATTATCCACAATTTACGGATGAGGAAACTGAGGCTTAGTAATTGAATGTACCTGAAGCCCTGCAGCTAATAAGGAGCCAGATTTTGGTCCTTGGCAACCTGACCCCAGGATTCATACTATTTACTTTTGTTATTGTTCTGTGCTGCCCCTTGCATATACATGGAAAATATATGTATACATATATATCTCCCTTCCCTTTTCTCAGGCCTTTAAAAGGTGACTTTATTAAAAGCAATTTCAAAACTGAAGAGTAAGCAATTAGATCCCAAAAAGATAATTCCAATTAAAATTCTGTGCAGAATTTTATAGAGAGCTCATCTTCTAAATCATCATTTCCATACGTTCCCTCCTGATGCCTATTAGGGACAAAGATCTACTTTTTTGCGACCTCAGAAATTGCAAGAGTTGTGTGAGCAGTCAGCGCATCTATCGTTCTGTTGTTGCTTTTGTTAAAAAAAGTATTGATACTCAAATATTAATATAAAATAAATTAGAATCATCAGGATGAAAATGGTCTGACTAGTTTCTTTTATCATCATGTCAGTAAAGCACCACCCCAAATCCTTCAGAAATGTCACCTAATTTTCTGAGACCTAGCCCAAAGATAGGAGAATCAAAGATAATAGAACTTTCTAAATTTGTTGCAACATTCAAATCCCCTGGGTGGAACTGCTGATGTAAAGGGGATTATCGTTGTTGTCTACCTGTTGTTTTTTCCTACCTAGGACAATCTAATCCTTCACATCTGTTACTGAGACTATGTAGAGATTAGACCTTCTAATCACCATTAACACTGGGAGTGAGTGTTAATTTAATTTTTTATAGGTACTTTAAAGTCACCAATGCAATTTGCTGCTGGTATTTTAGAGAGAAGGATTTAATAAAAATATGATGTTCACATCAATAGTGTCCCTTTAAGTCTTCCTGCTTACTTTGCATCTCTCTTTGCACCTAATGGGTATTGCCCCACTGCCTTTATATAGCACTTGAGGGAACACAAGATCATTACTTGGGGAGAGAACTAAAGACTGTTTGGAGGTTTTCACTTCATGGTGAAATAAAGTTAATTAATATTATCCCAATATGCCTCCTGTTACATCTGATGAACATGATCTTGAACTTAAAGTTTGAGCAGACTCATGTATTAGGAATTTTTCTGTGGGGGATCTTGTTCAGCCATTGGAAGTGACGTTACTTGTGTTGTGTATTTTCTGAGTGAGGCATTTTTGATCCAGGGAGTAGAAGACTAGAGTAGAAGAGTTCTGGGTTCTGGACTCAATTCCTGTGTGAGTTTGTTTCTGTGTATCTCTGCCATGGTTTCTCTGTCCCTAGGATATGGATGTTCCTTACCCTATCATAATATATAACCAACATTACCTCACCATGATTCTTAAAACAACCCCGTGAGGTAGAGTAGATGTTATTTATTTCCGTTTTGCTTATGAGGAAACTGAGGTTCGTTCAGGTTAAATGACGGTCTGAGGTTCCAGGGTCAGTAGGTGTTATCTGGGTCTTCTAATACTCTTTCCTCAGGCTGTAGTGATGTCTCCACAGATCTCACTTTGAAGATTTCTTGAGTAAAATTAGTCAAGGGCTTTGAGGTCTTTCATTCAAGACCTTACTGGATTGAGAAGAGGCATCTGATGCTGAAAAACCAAAAAACCCCCAAGCTATTATCATCTTAGAATCCTGTTGAGAGGTTAGGTCTAAGTCTTCATGAACTTTCTCAAAGAACTGAGGTTGAGCTTTCTAAATGGTCAATGTGCTGATGGTGACATCAGGGTGGGGGTGAAGGTGGGAGGGGTGAGGTGGCAGGGAGTGAACACTTCAGGCTGTGTTTTGTTCACATACCCAAGTACTTCTAACACTGAAACATTGAATTATATGATACTGTTGCACTTAATAAAAGTGATTTCTGACCATTTACTCAAAATAACAGTTTAGGAAAAAACATTCAGCTTGATTGATTTACAAAACAGCTGAGAGTGATGGAAGATCCCTGTCAGAATTAAACTTTACCAACTTTTTATTGACTAAAAAGCATTGGCAATTAGGTTTCCAGAGTATTTCAACACTGGTCCTTAACCAATGACTAAGACTTAAATTTTTTTTTAAGTTTTGAAATAAGTTCATACTTACAAAAAACTTGCACAAATAATACAGAGAATTCCCACATACTGTTTACCCAGATTCTTCAAATAAACACAGTACAATGATCACAACCAAGAAATTCACGTTGAGGCAATACTACAATCTACAGACTCTATTCAAATTTTGCCAACTGTCTCACTCATGTCCTTTTTCTAGTTCAGGGTCCAATCCAGGATCACATGTTATGTTTAGTTGTCATGTTTTCTTAAAGTTCTTTAATCTGGGGTAGTTAGTTCCACAGTCTTTCTCTGACCTTCATAACCTTGACACCTTTGAAGAATACTGGCTATCATTTCATAGGAAGTCCTTCACTTTAGGATTGTGTGCTGTTTCCTAATGATTGAAAGCAGGTTATGCATTTTCGGTAAGAATACCACAGAAATGAGGTTGTATCCTTCTTAGTGCATAGTATCAGGGGTTCATGATTGATTTACTGCATTACAAGTGACTTAGAAATTTGGCCCTTAAGCTGAGGTTCAGGCTAGTGTGTTTGTAGACCTTGGAGGAAAATATTTTCACTCATTTTGTGGCTAGGGGCAGCTCAGCCCTGTGAAGGATAGGATGAAATTAAACATGGGGCCAGTGGATTTATTTGCAATCTAGTTGGGCAGACTAGATATTCATAAGTAGTTAAAAATGTGTAAGAGTGTCATGGGGTGGTATGTGATTATTTTTGCTGGGAATCACAGTAGTCAGGGAGATTTTCTTAGGGGAAGCCATCCAGATCAACAAAGAGCTCTAGCTTGACGATTTAATCTGTAGGCAAAAGTGTCTATTGTCAGAGAGAATGGAGATAGAGCTCAACAAAAAGCAAAGCTGGGAAT